ACAGGTGGGACGTGGTAACTGGGAGCAGGTGGGGTGTATTCAGTAACTGTAGACAGGTGGGATGCTAGTAACTGTAGACAGGTGGGGTGTAGTAACTGTAGACAGGTGGGACGTCGTAACTGTAGACAGGTGGGACGTAGTAACTGTAGACAGGTGGAGTGTAAGGTGTAGACAGGTGGGACATGTAACTGTAGACAGATGAGGTATGTAGTAACTGTAGACAGGTGGGATGTAGTAGTAACTGTAGACAGGTGGGACGTAGTAACACTATAGACAGGTGGGGTGTAGTAAGTGTAGACAGGTGGGGTGTAGTAGCCACTGTAGAAAGGTGGGACGTCGTGGGGTGCTGACAGGTGGGACGTGAGTAACTGTAGACAGGCAGGGGTGTAGTAACTGAAGACAGGTGGGACGTCGTAACTGTAGACAGGTGGGGTGTAGTAACTGTAGACAGGTGGGACATGGTAACTGTAGACAGGTGGGAGTGTAGTATCTGTGAGCAGGTTGGGACGTAGTGGGGTGTAGTAACTGTGGACAGATGGGGTGTACAACAGTTGGGTGTAGTAACTGTAGACAGGTGCGGTGTAGTAACTGTAGACAGGTGGGACACAGCAACTGTAGACAGGTGGGAGTGTAGTAACTGTAGACAGGTGGGACGTAATAACTGTAGACAGGTGGGACATGTGTAACTGTAGACAGGTGGGGAGTGTAGTAACTGTAGGTGGGGTAATAACTGTGGGACACGTAGTAACTGTAGAGCAGGTGGGGAAGTGTAGTAACTGTAGACAGGTGGGGTGTAGTAACTGTAGACAGGTGGGGTGTAGTAACTGCTGTAGACAGGTGGGGTGTAGTAACTGTAGACAGGTGGGAGTAACTGTAGACAGGTGGGGTGTAGTAACTGTAGACAGGTGGGACAGGTAACTGTATACAGGTGGGGGTGTAACAACTGCAGACAGGTGGGGTGTAGTATCTGTAGACAGGTGGGACGTAGTAACTGTAGACAGGTGGGGCGTAGTAACTGTAGACAGGTGGGATGTAGTAACTGTAGACAGGTGGGGTGTAGTAACTGTAGTAAGGTGGGATGTAGTAACTGTAGACAGGTGGGACGTCGTAACTGTAGACAGGTGGGGTGTAGTAACTGTAGTAAGGTGGGACGTAGTAACTGTAGACAGGTGGGACGTAGTAACTGTAGACAGGTGGGATGTAGTAACTGTAGACAGGTAGTAAAAGGTGGGACGTAGTAACTGTAGACAGGTGGGACGTCGTAACTGTAGACAGGTGGGGTGTAGTAACTGTAGTAAGGTGGGATGTAGTAACTGTAGACAGGTGGGACGTAGTAACTGTAGACAGGTGGGATGTAGTAACTGTAGACAGGTGGGGTATAGTAACTGTAGACAGGTGGGGTGTAGTAACTGTAGACAGGTGGATGTAGTAACTGTAGACAGGTGGGACGTAGTAACTGTAGACAGGTGGGGTGTAGTAACTGTAGTAAGGTGGGATGTAGTAACTGTAGACAGGTGGGACGTAGTAACTGTAGACAGGTGGGGTGTAGTAACTGTAGTAAGGTGGGATGTAGTAACTGTAGACAGGTGGGACGTAGTAACTGTAGACAGGTGGGATGTAGTAACTGTAGACAGGTGGGACGTCGTAACTGTAGACAGGTGGGGTGTAGTAACTGTAGTAAGGTGGGATGTAGTAACTGTAGACAGGTGGGACGTAGTAACTGTAGACAGGTGGGGTGTAGTAACTGTAGACAGGTGGGGTATAGTAACTGTAGACAGGTGGGGTGTAGTAACTGTAGACAGGTGGGACGTCGTAACTGTAGACAGGTGGGACGTAGTAACTGTAGACAGGTGGGGTGTAGTAAGTGTAGACAGGTGGGACGTAGTAACTGTAGACAGATGGGGTGTAGTAACTGTAGACAGGTGGGATGTAGTAACTGTAGACAGGTGGGACGTAGTAACTATAGACAGGTGGGGTGTAGTAAGTGTAGACAGGTGGGGTGTAGTAACTGTAGAAAGGTGGGACGTCGTAACTGTAGACAGGTGGGACGTAGTAACTGTAGACAGATGGGGTGTAGTAACTGAAGACAGGTGGGACGTCGTAACTGTAGACAGGTGGGGTGTAGTAACTGTAGAAAGGTGGGACGTAGTAACTGTAGACAGGTGGGACGTAGTAACTGTAGACAGGTGGGGTGTAGTAAGTGTAGACAGGTGGGACGTAGTAACTGTGGACAGATGGGGTGTAGTAACTGTAGACAGGTGGGATGCAGTAACTGTAGACAGGTGGGACGTAGTAACTGTAGACAGGTGGGGTGTAGTAACTGTAGACAGGTGGGGTGTAGTAACTGTAGACAGGTGGGACGTAGTAACTGTAGAAAGGTGGGACGTCGTAACTGTAGACAGGTGGGGTGTAGTAACTGTAGAAAGGTGGGACGTAGTAACTGTAGACAGGTGGGGTGTAGTAACTGTAGACAGGTGGGACGTAGTAACTGTAGACAGGTGGGACGTAGTAACTGTAGACAGATGGGGTGTAGTAACTGAAGACAGGTGGGACGTCAGTAACTGTAGACAGGTGGGGTGTAGTAACTGTAGACAGGTGGGACGTCGTAACTGTAGACAGGTGGGGTGTAGTAACTGTAGACAGGTGGGGTGTAGTAACTGTAGACAGGTGGGGTGTAGTAACTGTAGACAGGTGGGGTGTAGTAACTGTAGACAGGTGGGACGTAGTAACTGTAGACAGGTGGGGTGTAGTAACTGTAGACAGGTGGGACGTCGTAACTGTAGACAGGTGGGGTGTAGTAACTGTAGACAGGTGGGACGTAGTAACTGTAGACAGGTGGGACGTAGTAACCGTAGACAGGTGGGGTGTAGTAACTGTAGACAGGTGGGACGTAGTAACTGTAAACAGGTGGGGTGTAGTAACTGTAGACAGGGGGTGGTGGTGTAGTAACAACAGAGAGTGTGTGGGGTGGGGTGGGGGGGTATTGGTGGGGTAGTTACAGTATTTATTTAGTAGACTGATGGTTGTGGAGATACCACTCACATGCGCCTCAAGAATATAAACCTCGAGGCATGTGGAGTAGGATCATGGTAATAAGTCCATCGGCTCACTCAACAAATTGTTTAAATATGAATGCTTTACTACCTGTTCTTTGATGTTGCCGTTACAATAAGCTTGCTCCAGGACGCGGTATATGTAACAGATGCACACTCCCAGAACACCACTGGCGCCAGGCTTCCACATATATACACAGTATGGTCTGATGATGGAGGGCATTAGGGGCCCATACGTTTATCTATGAAAACAGGCGACCTCGGATTATTGTTGGCCAGGATTTACTCCTCGCGTTTAGCTAGATGATAGTAAACAGACTTAGCTACAAGCTTGTTTGATTACAGACTACCCAAAACGGACAGGCTTACCTACAAGTTTGTTTGATTACACTCTACCCTAAACTGACAGGCTCAGCTACAAGTTTATTTGATAACACTCTACCCTAAACTAACAGACTTAGCTACAAGTCTGTTTGATAACACTCTACCCTAAACTAACAGACTTAGCTACAAGTCTGTTTGATAACACTCTACCCTAAACTGACAGACTTAGCTACACGTTTGTTTGTTTACGCTCTACTCAGAACTTTTTCGTTTTGTTTGTTTGAGATATAGCATCGCCTCTTTGTTGGTTCATTGATAAGGTAGCTATGCAACTGGGGCTGATCCAGTGCTGGGACCGAAGACATCAACCTCTTATCAAGCACATGCCAACTGTTGTGGTTTTTTGGTGGACAGGACCAGAGATGTTCCTAACCTTGAGATAGCGGGACGTGGGGCTGGCATCTTGAATGGATGTGTGTGGGTGGGTATGAGCTTGGCTGTGTGATGGTAAAAGAGATATGGTTGAGGTGGTGATTTGTGGTTTTGGTGTAAATGGTGTTTGTGATTTTGGTGCTGGTGATGTTAGTTTTGGTGTTGATGATGGTGTTGGTGATGTCAGTGTTGATGTTGGCGGCGGTGTTGGTGATGTTGGTGTTGATGAGGATGGTACTATTGATGTTGACGTTGGTGTTAATGTTGATGATGTTGCTAGTGATGATGATGCTGGTGACGAAAAGTTGATGTTGGTACAGATGTGGATGTTGCTGGTAATGTTGGGATGGATGTTGATGTTGGTGCTGGTGATGATGCTGGTGAGAATGGTGATGTGTTTATGCTGATGATATTGTTGGTGAAGGTGGTGCTTGTGATGATAGTGCAGCTATGTTGGTATCGGTGTTTGTGAGGATGATGGTGGGATGACGTGGAGGTTTTCATGTTGATGATGGTGTTGGTGAAGATGGTGCTTGTGTTGATGTTGATGATGGTGTTGGTGAAGATGGTGCTTGTGATGATGTTGATGATGGTGTTGGTGAAGATGGTGCTTGTGATGATGTTGATGATGGTGTTGGTGAAGATGGTGCTTGTGTTGATGTTGATGATGTTGGTGTTAGGTGAAGATGGTGCTTGTGTTGATGTTGATGATGGTGTTGGTGAAGATGGTGCTTGTGATGATGTTGATGATGGTGTTGGTGAAGATGGTGCTTGTGATGATGTTGATGATGGTGTTGGTGAAGATGGTGCTTGTGATGATGTTGATGATGGTGTTGGTGAAGATGGTGCTTGTGTTGATGTTGATGATGGTGTTGGTGAAGATGGTGCTTGTGATGATGTTGATGATGGTGTTGGTGAAGATGGTGCTTGTGTTGATGTTGATGATGGTGTTAGTGAAGATGGTGCTTGTGATGATGTTGATGATGGTGTTGGTGAAGATGGTGCTTGTGATGATGTTGATGATGGTGTTGGTGAAGATGGTGCTTGTGATGATGTTGATGATGGTGTTGGTGAAGATGGTGCTTGTGTTGCTGATGGTGTTGGTGAAGATGGTGCTTGTGTTGCTGGTGGTGCTGGTGAAGATGGTGCTTGTATTGCTGATGCTGTTGGTGTGATCAGTGTGGTACTTACTGTACGCTCCACAGGGTCAAAGAACTCTAGCGTTGACTCAACTCCGTCCAACTGCACCGTCACAGTCATTGTGTTACCCGCCTCTGAAACACGGAGACAATAATCAACACTGTTTCCTTCCACTAATACACCACACAATGCTACATCGCCCACTGACTCATCACACATAGCTAGATCACATATAGCTACACCACACAGTGCTACATCGCCCACTGACACATCACACATAGATACATCACACATAGCTACACCACACAGTGCTACATCGCCCACTGACACATCACACATAGATACATCACATATAGCTACATCACACAGCGCTACATCGCCCATTGACACATCACACATAGCTACATCGTCCATTGACACATCACACATAGCTACATCAGACATAGCTACATCACACAGCGCTACATCAGACATAGCTACATCACACATAGCTACATCGCCCATTGACACATCACACATAGCTACATCAGACACAGCTACATCACACAGCGCTACATCGTCCATCGACACATCACACAGTGCTACATCACACATAGCTACATCACGCATAGCTACATCACACATCGCTACATCGCCCATTGACACATCACACATAGCTACATCACATATAGCTACATCTCATATAGCTAGATCACACATAGCTACATCAGACATAGCTACATCGTCAATTGACACATCACACATAGCTACATCCTCCATTGCCACATCACACATAGCTACATCCTCCATTGACATATCACACATAGCTACATCCTCCATTGACATATCACACATAGCTACATCCTCCATTGACATATCACACATAGCTACATCCTCCATTGACATATCACACATAGCTACATCCTCCATTGACACATCACACATAGCTACATCAGACATAGCTACATCACACAGCGCTACATCGCCCATTGACACATCACACATAGCTACATCACATATAGCTACATCTCATATAGCTAGATCACACATAGCTACATCACACATAGCTACATCGTCCATTGACACATCACACATAGCTACATCCTCCATTGACACATCACACATAGCTACATCTCATATAGCTACATCACACAGCGCTACACCCTCCATTGATGCATCACACATAGCAACATCGTGCCATGTTTAATAATATACTCTTAAGAATTAGGGGGTATTTCATTTTCGGTTGTTTTTTCGGTTGTTTTGGAACCAAGTCATTGTGTTTGTGAATATGGTAACATTCGAACTTTCCAGTGAAGCTTCTGAGTGTGTTGGGGTTCATGGTGATACAAGTTGGCATGCTGGGAGTTGAAACCAGACACGAGCATTGTGGCACCAGCTCTTCAGGTTTCACAGTCAGTAATTAGCATTTTAGAGACGTCGATCTGGTCGACCAAGGGCGACAGCAGATACACAAGACATTGTCACCAGAACGACTGCGTTGCAAAAACTTTGTTGCCGCTCAAATTGGAGATGCGCTTCGAAAAGTGACAGTGGAGACAAGATTCGGCTACACAGATGGAACCTGTATGAACGACGTATGATCCCACGATTGACGGATCGTCGCACTGCCGCTATGAGTCGTTGGTGTTAGGAGCGCCGGGATGCGCTGGTTCAACCGTCGACGTTGTGGACATAGTGACTGTGGTAACAGAGGGGTCTACACAGCATAAGCGTCAACAACACATAAAAGGAGGCGTCTCGTTAATGATGTGGGGTGGGATCACTGTGATTGGGGTAACAGAGGGGTCTACACAGCATAAGCGTCAACAACACATAAAAGGGGGCGTCTCATTAATGATGTGGGGTGGGATCACTGTGACTGGGTAACAGAGGGGTCTACACAGCATAAGCGTCAACAACACATAAAAGGGGGCGTCTCATTAATGATGTGGGGTGGGTTCACTGTGACTGGGTAACAGAGGGGTCTACACAGCATAAGCGTCAACAACACATAAAAGGGGGCGTCTCATTAATGATGTGGGGTGGGTTCACTGTGACTGGGTAACAGAGGGGTCTACACAGCATAAGCGTCAACAACACATAAAAGGGGGCGTCTCATTAATGATGTGGGGTGGGATCACTGTGACTGTGGTAACAGAGGGGTCTACACAGCATAAGCGTCAACAACACATAAAAGGGGGCGTCTCATTAATGATGTGGGGTGGGATCACTGTGATTGGGTAACAGAGGGGTCTACACAGCATAAGCGTCAACAACACATAAAAGGGGGCGTCTCATTAATGATGTGGGGTGGGTTCACTGTGACTTGCAGGACACCTTTACATGTTATTCACGGGCGTCTCACTGGGCTGAACCTCCGTGACAGCATCTTGGTGGTAGCTGTTGAGTGGTTCAGGATGACTCTTACTGAGTATCCCCAACAGAAGTACATGACCACCTTTACATGGTCAGCCCTCAGTCCACACGTGCCATCCATCGTACATATCTGGGATATCCTTGGATATCGTCTCATAGGGACTATAGGTCTCTTTGGACATACAGATTATTAACCGAGTGTGTTTCCGTATCCTTAATATCATATCATATAATGTTATTCTTAAAATTACCCTAAGAAAAAAGCAACTCGTTCGTGAATTTAATTGAAGAGAATCGAACATTCGCGTAAGAATACTTAGCGGTACAACAAGGTGAAGGTCGTTCATGACGGCGGCATATGTTTGTGACTAGTCGCGAATACAGTGCAAACATAACTCATCCTTAAAATAAAATCTTTCTGTCCTATAAAGAACAACAAAATTTGAACGAAGTACTCCGTTTCATGTTTTACAAAGAGATTTCCTGCAGTAACGACTCCAGAACCTCTGTCATCAATTCTTACAGAATCACCAATTTTGAGCAGCCATGTTTGTTTATAAACAATATAAACTCGCGACGACGTCATCAATGAAATCTTAACGTTGTAGAATTCGCATGGCGTGTATGGAGTTTTGTGAAAGTAGTTCGTGGATTGACGTAATTTGCATTGTTGTCAGATTTGGATACCAAGTTTATCTCATTGCTTTATTGCACCGATAACACCCTCCATTACATGATACTTATTGTCAGTAGGGGTCACAACATATGTGATCCAGAGTACTTATTGTCAGAAGGGCTCACAACATACGTGATCCAGACTACTTATTGTCAGAAAGGTTCACAACATACGTGATTCAGACTACGAATTGTCAGAAGGGTTCCCAACAAACGTGATCCAGACTACTTATTGTCAGAAGTGCTCACAACAAACGTGATTCAGACTACTTATTGTCAGAAGGGTTCACAACATACGTGATTCAGACTACTTATTGTCAGAAGGGTCCACAACATACGTGATTCAGACTACTTATTGTTAGAAGGGTCTACAACAAACGTGATTAAGACTACTTATTGTCAGAAGGGTTCACAACATACGTGATCCAGACTACTTATTGTCAGAAGGGTCCACAACATATGTGATCCAGACTACTTATTGACAGAAGGGTTCACAACATACGTGATTCAGACTACTTATTGTTAGAAGGGTCTACAACAAACGTGATTCAGACTACTTATTGTCAGAAGGGTTCACAACATACGTGATTCAGACTACTTATTGTCAGAAGGGTTCACAACATACGTGATTCAGACTACTTATTGTCAGAAGGGTTCACAACATACGTGATTCAGACTACTTATTGTCAGAAGGGGTCTCAACATGCGTGATCCGGACTACCTATTGTCAGAAGGGGTCTCGACATACGTGATCCAGACTACCTATTGTCAGAAGGGGTCTCAACATACGTGATCCGGACTACTTATTGTCAGAAGGGTCCACAACATATGTCATCCAGACTACTTATTGACAGAAGGGTTCACAACATCCGTGATTCAGACTACTTATTGTCAGAAGGGTTCACAACAAACGTGATTCAGACTACTTATTGTCAGAAGGGTTCACAACATACGTGATCCAAACTACTTATTGTCAGAAGGGTTCACAACATACGTGATTCAGACTGCTTATTGTCAGAAGTGCTCACAACATACGTGATCCAAACTACTTATTGTCAGAAGGGTTCACAACATACGTGATCCAGACTACTTATTGTCAGAAGGGTTCACAACATACGTGATTCAGACAACTTATTGTCAGAAGTGCTCACAACATACGTGATACAGACTACTTATTGTCAGAAGGGTTCACAACATACGTGATCCAGACTACTTATTGTCAGAAGGGTTCACAACATACGTGATCCAGACTACGTATTGTCAGAAGGGTTCACAACATACGTGATTCAGACTACTTATTGTCAGAAGGGTTCACAACATACGTGATTCAGACTACTTATTGTCAGAAGGGTCCACAACATACGTGATTCAGACTACTTATTGTTAGAAGGGTCTACAACATACGTGATCCGGACTACCTATTGTCAGACTTACCGGAAGCTGCGATGGCTGAGTGGGTTAGACGGCTAACTTTGTGTGCTGGAGATTAGGGGCCTTACACTTAGAGTGTTTGTTCGAATCCCGGATGGGACTCAACCGAAAAAGAACTAGAATATGTTCGTTACTGATAAAGTGTAATCCAAAACATAACATGTGATGTATCGAACTACTTGTTTCCTTCAAGTAAGACCTGATTGAACACCTACTTTTAATAAAATGTAATGATACACTGAACAGAGGCTATAAAGGGAAGTAATAAGTGAATATGTAGTCAGTCACACATCACCGCTGAATGGTTTCCCAATACGCGTGCTATTCTGCTGTTACACAACTGTTGTGGACCGAGTCATGTGACCTTCGTCACACAAGACGTAGGGAGAAGTGGGTGTAGCGGCGGATGTGCGGGAACAGTCTTGTAACTTTTGCGAACCTTCCCTGTGAAGAGGAGACACCCGACACGAATACCTGCCTGCCTGCCTCCTCAGTCAGACGGCATCGTTGGAATAAACATCTCTCGTGGAAAAGGTGATCGTTTACACTTGTGGAGGTCCCCAGTGCTTATGGCAGGGAGGCTGAGGCTGTGCGCGGGGGATACGGGATCGAAACAAAACAAGCTGACCGAGAATAAAGCAAATGTCAGGAAAGAGAATAACCTTTGACC